GTTCTTTTACTGAGCAGATTTATATCCTCTTCCTCTTCCTCTTCATGAAGTCAGGAAGGGTTTGCTGCTAATATCAGTGATGACAGAGTTGGACCTTCACAGCAGGTCTTGAAAGATTCAGCCATATCTTTTCGGTATTGCTTATAATTTACATATTGACTGCATAGAATTTATATTTCCATATATATACATTCCCATGTGAGACGTTTCAGTTGCTTTAAAAAAATGACCCAAGTAACAGCCGTTATGTTAACTAAACTGTATTACAACACAACTTTGCTTAGTAATCCCTCTTCTGCAGCTCAGAAACTTATCATCCCCGTCAATGACCACTCTGATATCTTCCAATGTTCAAACATCCCAAATCTGCAGAGGTGGAAAAGTAACCCCTTTTTTCCTGATTCTCCAAAAAAGTCAGAGTTATAACCTTTTAATCATTGTCAAGCTCACTACTATGCTGTGGATGTTTTTTCTCCTGACTGGGTTATTAATTTGATGGAGATTTAACACCCTATAAAGACCATACTTAACTTACCACTTGCTGGAAATGCTGGCAAGGGATTAGCCGCTGAGGCTGGCACATGAAGACTTGAGGAGATACAGAAGGTTTAGCCACTTGTTCAGATGGCTAAAAACTTTGCCCATTCCTGGGGCTAGGCAACTATTTAAAAGTCTTGGTAGCACAGTCACCTGTAGTGCTTAGCCTACATCTGATATCTCAATATATTGTTAATGGTGCAAGACAAAATGAGGGAAGAGCAAAAGCCTGAACAACACCGGTTACAATACTGTAGAGATAGATCCATCCTTCCTCACCTCATTAGACAAAATCTATAAAAACTATTCCTTCAAATCCTTGTCTGCTGATTATGGCTTTCCCTTCATAATGGAATAAGTTTAAAAAGGATTCAGGTAATTCAGATACAAAAGTAAATTTTCAGCATGAGGATGAAGAAGTATCAGAATTCATAAAACTTCCTTAAGACTGAAACACTTTCTATAGAATATAATCTGTAACTGCCCAAAGGGATATCAGATAAATTTGCTGGCTTTATACTAAAACTGAAAAATATGAATTAATTTTAATTCCATAATGGTGTTCTGTGGTTGCTGTTAAACTTGAAGTAAGGATTATGAGAACAAAAATATGTCATTCTGTAAACCAAAGATAATAGTATTCTGACATTAAATCTATGTTTATTCAATACATTAGAGGTAATATCTTTGTCAAACCAGCTCTTTTTGCCTAAAGGTTCAGCATTAACACTGTTAATTCTCTTTTAAACATAAGTAGCTCAGCACCCTCATTCACAATAGGTTTAATAATTGCGTGGCTTCACGCTACAAACTATGCCTTTGTTTCTGCTTTTAACTGTTCTTTCATCAGTCCTGCTGTGCACGTTAGACAGGTCACGTGAGGATAGGAAAACAGACTGGAAGAGTGTTTTGTGAAAATATGTTGAGACAACTGCTGAATTTTAAGGGCTTTTCTGTACCAGGCAAAAAGGTGCTGCAAAGAACCAGATGGTGCTTGTATGATACGTGGATAGGCATCAGAGCTGTTTGCAGAGATCAGCTGTACCAAAATGCTACGAGGGACTCTTCAGTTCCTCTACCCTTAGTGCCTTTGTCCCTGGTCTGTCTCGCTGGTTGAACTGCAACTGCAACCCAGATTAAACAGATCTCCCTCTTATTTCTTTCTTTGCTTGTGACCCTACCACATGCCCCAGCTTGTTTCACTGGCACTTGGTTTCTGTCCCTCCACAATTTCAAGTCCTTTTTTGCCTCTTTATGCATAACAGCTTCAGGTAGTGAATCCAGCTGTTTTAGGGCTTCCAGATGCTCAGCATCCTTTCCTCGCCTTCCTAAGTTTCCCTTGGTGGGTAAAGTAGAGACTCTGTGGCTTAGAGTTGAAAGGAAATGATCAACACTTAATAAAGCAAGTTTAGTATATGATTTTAGGCAGAGATATTTATGCCCCAATGCTTTTTGTTGAACAGCACCTGCTCATCCTAAAAACAGGAGTACAAGCAATCCCACAGATCAGACATGTAGGCTGGTATCAATCTGACATTCTTGTAAGAGGAAGCATCGGAAGTGAATAACACATACAAACCTCTGTTTTGGCACACAAGAAAAATTCCTGACCTTTAAACCATAACTAGACAGGTTTATTCAGGCTCTTAGCACTAGTAAACTAAGGTTTATGGGAGTTTAGTTCAAAAATTTTCATAAAAGCTTTATCCTAATAAGCAAAGTAGCTAAAGTAGATATCACAGAATCACAGAATGGTTGAGGTTGGAAGGGACCTCTGGAGATCATCTAGTCCAACCCCCCTGCTCAAGCAGGGACCTCTAGAGCACATTGCCCAGGATCGTGTCCAGACGGGTTTTGAATATCTCCAGGGAAGGAGACTCCACAACCTCTCTGGGCAACCTGTTCCAGGGCTCAGTCACCCTCACAGGAAAGAAGTTTTCCCTCATGTTCAGATGGGACTGCCTGTGTTTCAGTTTGTGCCCATTGCCTCTTGTCCGGTCACTGGGCACCACAGAGAAGAGTCTGGCCCCATCCTCTCGGCACCCTCCCTTCAGATACTTGTACACATTGATGAGATCCCCTCTCAGTCTTCTCTTCTCCAGGCTGAACAGGCCCAGCTCTCTCAGCCATGAGGATGTGATGAGATGCTCCAGTCCCCTCATCATCTTTGTAGCCCTCTGCTGGACTCTCTCCAGTAGTGCCA